TCTGTTACCATAACGCAAGCCTATTTTTCAAACTTTCGTTGTCCGTGAGATTTGAACCCTAGACCTGCTACTTGGAGAGGGTGACAACTTGACCACTTTACTAAGCCGCCACACCCCTTAAATAAACTATTGTTATCGTTATACGTAACTTTAATTTTGATACTTTTTAATTTTGCATAAAAAATATGTCATCAATTGTATGAGAAAAATAGTATAAAAGAGAAAATTGTACTAGCATTAAATATCTAATTGATTCTTTCTCCAAAAAGTGATACTTATTTATTGTGCAAACCAGTATAGAAATAAGGTGTTGACGGTTGAAAAAAAGTAGTAATAAAACGAGATAATGAATCATCATTGATGGTTTACTTCAAACAGTAATCAAGAATAAATAAATTAATAAAATTAAAAAAAAAAAAATAGAATAAAAATAAAAAAATAAAAATAAAAAAAAAGAAAGATTTTTTAATATTCAGTGAATATGATTAAAAGTTGATTATATAATAGAACAAATAAATACTTAACCGATTATACAGTAACTTAAAAAGATAGGTAGAAGTTACTAGATAATAGTTTGTATAAAATTAAAAAATACATCATATCGGTATGTTAATTTAGCATATTTGGAAATCAAACATATTAAACATCTTATATGTGTAATACTTTTTTTTTTCTTTGATCTAAAATTTTTTTTTCTTTTTGCAATAACAATAGGTAGAAAAGGACATAACTTTCGAGAATTTTTTCAGTTAGCTGAGCTTGATAATCCCAAAGCAAATAAAAAGACTGTTTGCTTGTCATGTATGCAAAAATACACCTTACCTATTGCTCTTACAAATCCAGACTGTTTTGTTTCTAACAAAGCAAAGCTATGCCGAAGTCATCTTAGAGACTGTTTAAATTTTAAAGCAGAATATAATGAAGAAGAAATCTTGGAAATTTTTGCTCAACCAGTTCCTGAAGATACTAAAAAAAATAAAAAAAAAAGAGCAAAGGTAATCATACTTATAACTATACTATTATCTGTATATTATACTGTATTAATTATTTGATTATTGTTAGATTCTACATCCGAAGATGAAATTTCTACAACTTCTGAAGCAACTAAGGCTTCAACAACTATTATATCAAAAAAACAAACATATTTTAAAGGTTATGTTTCCCATCCATTATCTAAAAAAGATAAACCACATTTTGAAAACCTGATATTATATATAATCGTATCAAACGGTCTTTCTTTTACATTTATAAAAAATTATGAAACACAAGAGGTCTTTAATTTTATTGCACTAAGTTTAAAATTACCTAATCAACAAGCAGTAATTCTTCCAAGATATTCTGAAAAGTTAGTTGAAGAAATTTTACAATGTGCACATGCTGATAAAATTGGAGTAACTGCAGCATTCGATAGCTGAACAAACATTAAACAGAAACATCTTTTTGGTATTGTGTTAATTACCTCTAAAGGTAAAGCTTTGGTTTGGAACGCACATGACATTAGTGATCAGCGGTCAAGAACAGAAGATGTGAAGATTCTTATTAGAGAAATTATGAATAATGCACAAGAAAAGGATATAAAAATTAATTGTTATGTATCTGATTCTGCTAGCAAATATGCAGCTGCAAGGTGAGTATTAAATATATATACTAAAAATGTTTACTGTATATTTAAATAAAATTTTGATTTTTTTTTTTACAGGCGATAACTAAGAATTAAGTTTCCTAATAAGGTTTTTATACCTTGCATAGCGCACCAAATGAACTTGGTATTTGGTGATATTTTCAAAGCATCAAATATATACAAAACAACATCAAAAAATGCAATATGTATTGTGAGCTACTTTCATTCTTCCCCATATTTTACTGGATTATTACGAAATGAACAAGTATCTTGTTATGGACAAATGATTTCCCTTGCAACTCCAGCTGAAACACATTGGAACAGTTTTTATTTTTGTTTTTATTCTGTCTTAAAATCCGAATCTGCACTTAAAGTAAGTGTATTTTTAAATGAATTTGTAAATTTTTAATAAATTATATTATTTATATTTATTACTACTTACTGTAGATGTTAGCTACAAAACTTTCTCCAACAAGAATTGGGATAGCAAGTAATTCTCGAAGCAGACGAAAAATTCTAATACAACCAAAACACTTTCACCTGATATTATCTCTATAATACAAAATTCTAATTTCTGGGCTCAACTCTATGAATTTTAAATTTTACTATTTCTACTATATGGAATATTAAATAGGCTTCAAAAAAATGTCGCAAGGCTTTTTGAAATTGTACATTGCTTTGAGTGGCTTATTAAAACTTTTGCAAACTGTAAAGATGAAATTTTTTCTGATCACATAGTCGCACAATTGAAAAAGCGATAGGCTCAATAGGAACAACCCTTACTTCTTCTATCGTTTGTCTTACATCCAAAATATGGGCTCTCAAAATTTTCTTCTGATGTTTCTGGTCTTTCTTACTCTCACTTTAGTCAATGGTTAAATTACTATTATCATGCTTGGTTCGATGAAGTACCAATATGTATTTTACATGAATTTTTGTTATATCAAAGAGAAGTATTTTCTTTTAATAAGGAAATGTATAAACAGTTTGATGAAAATATTTTTGATTTTTGGGATTCAACTAAGGGTTTAGCACCAGAATTATCTTGACTAGCTCTGCAATTATTTGGTATTTGTATTAATTCTGCTTCAGTTGAACATTTATGGTCGACAATAGGGTTCTTACATACAAAGTGCCAAAATCGCATGCCAGTATGTAGATATTATTTAATTTATTGTAATTTTATACTGCTAATTTAAGTTTAATTTAATTATTAATTTAAGAATGACAAAGTGTTATCTATGAGCCAATTGCGTAGTGATATATTAAGCAAGCGAAAACGTAATGAAGCTGAAGAGGCTGAAAAAAAATATAAACAAATCCATCTTGCAACTCCCATTCAACTTTACAATTCTGATAATGGAGACACAACACAAGAAGAATTAACAAGTGACAGTGAGAATAATGATTTATTTGTTTTTGGTAATTCACAATTAAGTGAATCTTCCCAAATAATAAAGAATGTGGCTGCAGATATAAGTGATGACCCTGATACTTTTAGCGAAGAGAGTTGGTTAAATATGGTTGAAATTGGGCTAATACATTGAATAATGAAAATAATTTCGATCATAATAAATCTGCAAGTAATGATCTTGAATTCGAATTAGGTGGGCGTATTACTTATCTAGCGGATGATCCATTGGCAAAATGGAATTTATTAGATTTATTCAATGATTCTTTAGAAGCCCCTGTTTCATTTACATTTTAAGAATTTTAATAA